TTCAGAATAAAAAGCATGAGTAAGTAGACTGTTGAAGCAAAGTAGTTTGGGTATTTGTATTGATTCACTTTTACATATTTTACTTGGTTAAAGGAAGTGGAAAGCAGACAGGATCAGCCATAGCTAGAAAGGAGGGAGCACTGCTAAGTCCTTGGGGAAACAAGCTTAGTAGATGGAGAGAAGTCCAAGTCCACCACCGGTAAAGAAAGATGTACAGCCTCACAGTAGGCACTCCACTGTATACGAGGATAATGTCCTCTCTTACAATTTTGTTAAGGTCTTTCCAAGTTTTTGTTTCATCTTGCTTTCAAGATCTTCTGATGAATGAACCAAATTCCAGTTCTGCATAGCCAACTGCATGCTTTTAACAATTTAAGGAGTTCTATATATGTGGAGTAGAAACATCCCTTTTTAAAGGCTAATGCAAAGAAACTGAATCAAAATTTGTTGTACCAAGTCTAATTTCTAAAACTGCTAGAATGAATGTACAGCTAACCTCCAGCAATAACCAACTATGAATTCACACTCCCATTATCTTAAGGTGTATCATGGAATTAATTCTCAAGCCCAAATTTATTTAAATTCACTTTAATTCAGTATGTGCCTCACAGCAATTTCAGGGAAGATAAAGAAGTGGAAAAAATTACAATGACAGACTGTCATCGATTCAGAAGAATTAAGGACAGCATGACTGACAGAAACAGCGAGAGCTCGGAAGTCAGGGTGACTAAGGCTGGCCAGCCTGTCCTCTTCCGAGAAGGTACCTCACAGTCCTTCCTGAGCCAGGCTCCTTCATTTACTAATGATACGGCCTTGGACAAGTTACTCAACTTCTCTGGGCCTCAGTGTCCCCAACTATAAAGGGGGGAAATAATACCCTACCTACCCCAGAGGGCTGTTGAGAAGATTGAATGAGTCAAGGGCTATAAAAAAATGGTTGCTCAGGCAAGCAACTTCACTTAAGCTTCCTCCTCAGTCAAATGGGGTAACTCTGGAGCGCCTGGGGAGCTCAGTCAGTTCAGCCTCTGACTCTTGATTTCGACTCACGTCATAATCACAGGGTCGGGATTTCATGCTTGGTGGGATCAAGCCCCGCATCACATCATCGGGCTCTGTGTTCAGCAGGGAGTCTGCTTGAGATTCTCTCCCTCTGTCCCCCCATCACTCTTGTGTGCACACACACTCTCTAAATAAATAAAATCTTAAAAAATAAAATATAAATGGGGCAACTCCTTCATAGGATTATTTGAAAATGAACAAGCTGAGCCTATAAGAAACCTATCCCAGGGCCCTGCTAAGAGCCAACACCAGACACCTGTTCTATGCTTGGTGCTCAACAGGAGGCTTCACATGCTATCTCATTTAATTTTCACAGCAACTCCATGAAACTGGTAACATTCATTCCCATTTCATTCACTCCGTTAAAACCAAGGTGATAGGTAAGTAACTTGCCTTAGATCAGAAAGTGAGCAAATGGCTGAGCCCTGAGCCTTAATATACATTAAATGCATTTAACTCAGGATCTTTAATTGGCACCTGGCTGAAAGGACAGTTGTAAAAGACATTTTCAGGCAATTGGGCTGAATGTTAAAGACAACAGAATGATTCTTAATTTTGTGAAGTGTGATGATAGTACTATGGTTTCATGGAAGAGTATTCTCATCTTTCGGAAAAGTACGTTCAAGTATTTAAATATAAAGCATTCTGATGTTTAATTTCTTTGAAATGGTTCAGAAAAAAAAAATTTAAGGGAAGACCTTCCAACATTAGGAAAAACATGACTAAGGAGGAAGCTACAAATCCATTCTCAGCAGGATATGTCTTGCAGAGAGGTTTATGAGAGCAACAGAATAGCTAAATGGTAGCCCCATGTTTTCTGAATTAAGCTCATGTGAGAAGAGTTCCTTAATTTTGTCAACAAATTTCCAAATCATTCAAGAGCCTAATCAAATGCTTTAAAGATACAGACAAAATGCCTAAGATCAAAAAAATTTTTTCCACTCTCATTTACAAAAGATCATTTTCAATAGTTTGTGGATGCTTTTTAGTTTTGAATCATTAAAAAAAAAACTGTAAAATTGTACATTGGTAGCTGGAGTGGGATCAGAGGAGACCGGTCAGAGTATTTTCTATGTAGAAGCTACATTTTAGGACAGTCGGCAGAAAGAGCAGATAAGCTTTCCTGAGCTAGCATATGTTTATTAGAAAAGCTTTAAATCGACATGGAAAAGAGCATTAATTAAGTTAAAATATTTATTATTTTTTTAAAATCCAGCACAATTTTGCCAGTTGCAAGATTCTGACTTCTTGTACTCTGATGCTAAATGTATTTATTACATTTCTGTACCATTTAGCAAAAACCTTAAATATATATGGACTCTCAAAAAAAAATCTATTATACCTAAGACATAACTGTGACTCCCAAAGGTCTCCAAATCTCTTTATATGAAACACACCTGGTCTACTTCCAAAAGGTTATCTGCGGGACCCCAAACATAAAGCCATTAGAAGAGAAAATAAAAGATCAAAATTCATACTAGAGGAGGAATAAATAAACCTAGCAAAAACCTAGGCTAACTATGACCACTGTAATCCAGTAATAATTTTAGCTCTGAGCTTCCAGACAATGGTCGCAAAAAAAAAAAAAAAAAAAGAAACCCAACAACAAAAAGGCAACCACAGCAAGCTCTGCAATCCAGAGAGAAACCTTCTTCCAGGCACTAATGTTTAAAAGGCATTTTTCAGATGGGTCATTACATAAGAACTTGAACAATACAATGGACAGTGTCCACAAACGGCAGTTAACAGCCCATGCAGCCCGTGTTCTTACCGGCTTACATTTCACGTCTCATGCCAAGGTCATTACATTAAAAGTAATCCCAGGAAGGCCATTTCTGCAGTAGGCTAAGGCGCTACAGCTTTCTGATTAACTGAAACCAGAACCTGTCCTCAAAACCCACTGTCTCAACTGGGCTTCTGACAGCAGTGGGGCAGCCAGTTCCAAGCTCAAGTGCTCTGAAAGCATGAAATAGAGGTAGTCATTTCTTGCTGATGATCCCACCCCAAATCCTTTTGCTTTGGCTGTCAGATGGGGTAGGATGCAAAGCTGCCATGCTGCAGTGAAAAGGGAGAGGCCGGACCAGTACTCCCAAGGGAATAAAGCCAAGGACCCCAGGGCAGGGCGAGTGGAACCAATCTCCAACACGAATCCCAACGTCCAGAGCAAGGCCACCATCCCTCCCTGCTGCTACTGCTATTTGCGTGTGCAGGGACAAAGGAAGACCCAGAGAAACACTGGCCTATTAGTCCATTCGGAAGGGAACAAGGCCCAGCAGCATATTTCTTCCTCCCAAAAGCAACTTTTTTCCCCCCATTTTACAGTTTCAAAATGCAGTGTATGAAGGCAAAGGCAAAAAAACGTTTAAAAAAAGATCAACAGCGGTGGTGGCATCGCAGCGACATGCACTCCAGGCGGGTTGGTCCCCAGCGGCAGGTGTCTTAGCAGACCAGGGGTGACTGCAGTCCAACATCCCCCCGGGGGGGGGGGGGGGAACAAGGGAAGGCAAGTCCCTTTTCCCAAACACCCACCCTCTCACCCTCTCCTGCCCAGCCTGGCAACAGCAGACGCCAAAGGATAAAGGGGCATTTAAAAGAAAAAAGAAAAAGAAAAAAAAAAAAAGTAGATTCTTAAGAGTAGAGCACAGCATTCGGTCACCTGCTGCAAGAGAAGCCCTCCGGGTCACCCAGCCCTGAGTCACTTCCCCTCTCGGCACGGTCCAGGCTCGCAGGAGCAGAGGCCCCCGCAGCCCCCACGGCCCCGCGCCCCCGCGCCGCCCACGGCTCTGCGCCCCAGCCCGCGCCACCGCTACCTTCGCTAAGGGCAGCTCTGAATGAAAGGAGCCGAGGCAGGCTCCGGATTTATGAATGTGCAGGGGAGGAGGGGAGGGATATCATGTGACAATAAAGGAGAGCGTCTTATTCACAAAAAAAAAAAAAAAAAAAAAAAAGTGGCTAGTGGCGGGCACAGCCACTGAGCAGCGGGGACGGCCGCCGAGCGCTGACCGCTCGGACCCGCGGCCGACGACCTTAGGCGCCGGGCCCAGGAGCTCGGCCTCGGCTCCCCCTGCACCGGAGGCGCCCGGGCGCGGGTGGGGGGACGGCAGCTCCGACTCCGCGACCGCGAGGCTGCAGGAGCCTCACCTTGGCCCGGGGCTGGGCGAGCGAGCCCGCGGGGGGCGGCGGGTCACCCGGGGGCCCCCCAGCCGAGCGCCCCTAGCACCGCTCCCCTGGGGCCCGCGGGCCGGGCACGCACCCCGTGCACCCCATGCACCCCGTGCACGCGCGCACGCCGCCCCGCCCGCCCCCGCAGCCCCCGCAACCCCCGCCTCGGATCCGCCCCCCCATCCCGCGGGGCGCCCGTCCCGAGCCCCAGGGCGCGTGCACACGAGCTCACACGCGCCGCGGGACCCCTCCGGCGGCTCCCCCGCCGCGCCGCGCCCCGCCCGGGGATCCCCGGCTCCCGCAGGCCCCCCGCGCGGCCCGCGCCCCGTCCTCCGCTCCGCCGTGTTGTTTTTTTTTTTTTTATGAATGAAAATGTGGTATGCAAATGAGAGCGATTCAAGAAAAACGAAATGGCGGAGCCCGGGTCCCCGGTGGGCTGCCTGCGGGACCGGGGATGGGGATGCGGATGGCGGGACGGGGATGGGGAGGGATGGGGAGGGATGGGGGTGGATGGGGATGGGGGGCGAGCGGCGGGGCGGGAGCCGCGGAGCCCCCACGGGAAAACCCACCGGCCCCGGGGAGCCGCAGCGGGGGTGCCCGGGCCTTCCGCTCCGGCCACGGGAGATCTCGGGGGGGGGGGGCGCCCCGAGGTCACCCGCGCGCCCTTGGCCCCGCCGCCCCCTCCCCACTCCGCGGGCAGGGGGGCAGGCGCGCAGCCCACGCCAAGTCCACCCCACGCTGCGCCCGCGGGCACGCTCCGGCCCCGCAGCCGAACTTACTCGTCCGGGTGTGTTTCTTCGGTCATTTTCCTGTTCACCTCGACGCCTGTCCCGCGGCGGGCAGCCCGGCTCCCTTCATCTTCCTGCGCGCTCAGCCCCGGCTTCACATCTCCGGAGACCGCCCGATGGGGCTGGGGAGGGGGCGGCGCGAGGGGGCGCGCGGGGGCGCGGAGGGGGCGCGCGCCGCGGCGCCCGGGGCCCGGCCGGAGGGGCTCGGGGGCTCGGCCCGGGCGGAGCGGGAGCGCCCCGGGCAGCGGACGGCGGCGGGGGAGACAGAAAAACAAGCGCGCCGTGCAGCGGCGGGGGCTGCGGGGGCCGGGGGAGGGCCGGCCGCGGGCGGGGGCTCGGCCCGGGGTCGCCCCCGGGGCCCGGGCCAATCACGGTTCCGGGGAGCGGCCGGCGGCCGGGGGAGGTGCGCCTGGGAGGCGGTGCAGGGCGCCCCGTCCGAGCCCCATCTCCCGACTCCGCCGATTTACTCCATATTGGATTCTCACCGCCGCCAACAGGAGGAGGAAGTAGGGCGGAAGCGATGACGTCTTCCCAGCGGCCAGAGGTGGTGGAGTGCAAAAAAGCTTCCTACTTGCGACCGAAAAAAAAAAGGGGGGGGGGGGGAGAAGAGAGAGGAAAAAAAAAAAAAAAACTTTGACCCGCCTACTGAGCATGCCCGGCTTCCTTGCCCCCTCCCTCCCGGCTGGCGCTCCCGGAGGAGCCGCGGAGCGGAGCTGTTTGTGCGGCGTCTGCCTGGCTCCGGATCCCTGCTGGACGACGCTCCGGGTTTTGAGAAGCCCGGGAGGAGGGAGGAGGCGGGAGGGAGCGAGGACTCGCGCACATCTGGCTCCAGTTTGGTTCCCTCCCTCCATCCGAACCCCTGGATTAACGACGGTGGGGGGCGGGGGCGGAGGCGCGGAGTTCAGGGGAGGCCCCAGGGGTGCTCGGGCTTGGAAGACCAGCTCCCCCGCGCTGCGGCGGGGGTGGGGTGGGGGCGGCACAGGTGTTTTTGCCAAGGTTCCGAATGGCAGAGGCTTTTCAGTTTCTCATGAATCTTGTGATTTTTTTGTTTTTTTCTGTCTAGCTAGAGGAGTGGACATTTACGAGGAATCGATATTTGTACTTTAAAAAAAAAAGGTAACTCCATCACAGCTCAGAAATGCAAATGCACTTCAGTAGAAATGATGGGCTTCCTTGGGTTAAAAGGTGAGCCCAAATACATTTCAAAAATTACTTAGTAAACCTCTCTCGTGTTGGAGGATGGCCCTTCGAAGGCCCCAGTTACTGGGCCATAGGTTACCAGTCCTGTGGGCTTTGGCACACTGGATACCCACTCTCCTTACCTTTTGTCTTTAAATGATGTGTCTTGTCTTGGCTCAGGTACATGAGCTGGGTGGGCCCATGTTCTCCAAAGCAGCACTGTCTGGGCAATGGACAGGGCATGCAACCTGTGCAATTAGTTGCACAGGGATCTTTACTTGGTCTGACATTCTGCTGTTGCCGTTTTGAAATTCTTTGCGGTGTTGGAACAACGGGCTCCACGTTTTTACTTTGCAGTGGGTCCCACAGATGACATAGTTGTTTAGTGCTTCTTCCTGGGGGTCTTGCTAGATAGAGAGCAAGAAGTACAGTCCCTGCCCCTTCCTGCTCTCCAAGCACAGTAGACATTGCACCCTACTGAATATGCCAGGAGAACGTGCAGAGATTTTAACCAAGTAGCAGCCATTGAACAAATTAAGAGATTAAATATATGTCTCAAATGTAGTATACCTAAAGTGTGTATATATGCATTTGGAGAGCCACAAGTGTTTCAAAGATAGTAACAGTATCACCTTGGGTCAAGGAGAAACTAGTGGTTTACCCTAGGCCTCATGCCTATCAAAACCATGATCTTTGTGGACATGTAGAGGGGTTCACCTGCCTTTGATACTGAGTGCTGGTGTGTAGTGCTGAAAAGGGAACTAGACAGGGAAGGAATGCCTGGGTTTGGTTTTTCCCTAGCAGCCTTGAGCCCTTGACTGAGACTTTTAGCACTGATTTCTTCAGTTTCTTTATAAAACAGGGATAACAAGGCAAGTCTTGTCTTCCTCGGGTTTTGAGGCCATCGAGAGTTTATGAGAAAGCAGTGAACAAAGGCTAAGGCATCTCTCCAGCTCTCACCTTTGGTCATTGCTTTTCTCCTGGAGGAGCTGAAAGAGATCCCAGTCATTCCTGAACTTCCAGGGACGGACATTTGTCCATGTCAGAATTATCCACCCAATGGGCATCTGTATGGCTCCACCCTCCAGTTTAAGGAGGCAAGGTAGCAATAGTGGCAGTTTAAGGAGGCAGCTTAAGAGTGACCGAATGGCAAGGGGGCAGGTGAGATGATGATTAATTCGTGCAGGTAGGTAAGCCAATCCGTGTCATCACCACTCATTCCTCCAGCGCCCTGCTAATAGCAGTGAATGACTGGCCCAGATGGCAGACCAGACAGCCAGAGGAGCGAAGGAGAACATTCTAAGGTCCAGGAGTCACCAGCAACGCACTTGGATGCCCTGATGCCAGATTCCATCAGGTCCTTTGGTTTTCTGAGCCTTGGCTACAACACTCGTAGTGACAGGAGAACACCCACAGCACAGGGTAGCTGGGAAGAATAAATGGCTACTGTGTTAATAAGCAGCACACTGCAAAAAGATTCATAGCAACCCTTTCTCCTCCCCGGCCCATTGTATCATTCGGTGCTACCCCCCCCCCTTCACTTTCGTGTTCCTCTATAAAGAAACCCTTCCAGTTCTCTCTTGCCTCCTTCATCATCCAAGAGGGGCTTTTTAAAATAGAAACGTTCTCAGCAAGTCACCTCCTGGTCCTCCCCCATCAATTCTTGTGACTCCTGCGGCTCCATACAATAAATGGCGATGTGGGGCGAATAACTGATATGTGTTTATTGATCTGAATTCGGGGGGGGGGTTACCAAAGTCTACTGAGTTTGCTGCCAGGATAGCGGGCACCACGGATTTAGGGCTTCCATTTAATGACATTGCTGGAAGCGCTAAATACCCACCTCCATGTCCCCCCCCGCCCCCCACCGGCCCAACAGGGGTCGCGCAGCTCTGCCCACGACCTCGGAGCGAGGTCGCACAGCCTCAGCAGCGGAGTCGATCTTCCCGCGTCTGCACGCACAGCCCCGAGCCCCCGGCAGGACCCCCGCCTCCCCGCCCGGGTGGGGGGGGGGGCGGGGCAGCACCCCCCCCCCCGCGGCTCCTTCCGCCGGCCGCCCGGAAAGCCCGGAGCGCGGAACCGGAGCGCCCCTCGGCGGCCGCGGATCGGGCATGCTCAGTAGACGCGCAGGGCCGGGCCCCCCGCTCCCCGCCGGCCGGAGCGGGCCTCCCCCCTCCCCCCTCCCCCTCCCCTCTCGCGCCCTGCGCCCCTGCGCCGCGCCACCGCACCCTACCGGGGCTCGGGCTGGGGCCGCGAGGGTACGTCTCCCCGGGGTGGGGCTGGGAGTGGGATCCGGGAAATCCCCGCCCATCCCCCCGGCCCCCGGCCTCGGGGCGCGCGCGGGGCGGGGGCGGGGCGGGGGCGGGGGCGACTGCGCTGCGGGGAGGTCCGTGCGGCCCCGCCCCCGCCCCCGCCCCCGCCCCTCCGGTGTTTCTCAATGACCGGCGCTCGGAGGCGCTCCCGCCGCGCGGGGGTGGGGATCCGCAGCTCGGGGTATCAGTTCCTTCCGGTCTGCCCGGAGCCCGGCCCCGCGTGCGGCTCCGCAGCGCCCCGGCGCCTTTCTGCCGTTGAAGCGGGCGGCCGCGTGCCGGCGGGGTTCGAGCAGCCCAGCTGTGCCCCCCCGACCCCCGAGGCCGGCTGCCGGCAGGAATGGAAACCCAAGCTCTCGTAACGAAGGAGATGATGCAAACTTAGAAACTGACCCGGCGCCCGGGAATGAGCGCCCCCCCCCCCGCGGGGCGTCCCAGCCCGGGCATGAATGGCTGCAGCCGGATTGCATAACCCACGCGGTATAAATAGCCGCGGGCGGGCGGGCCGGGCTCGGTGCCCCGGCGCGGCGCACTCCCGGCTCCTGCTCCCTTGCTGCTGCGCGGCCGGGATCTTAAGTGGCGGAGATGACAGGCCCTTGTCCCTGCCCCCCTCCTCCCTTGGGGTCACATACTATGAAGGACACGCCAGCCTCGCTGCTTTCCGAGGTGTAGGAGACAGGCTCAACGGCAGGTGCGGCGGGGCAGCACCTGTGTGCGCGTGTGGGGCGCGCAGCGGGAGGCAGAGAAAGCAGGGACGAATGAGTGACAGGCCTGGGCAGCCTTCTGGTCGAGAAGATGTAACCGCGTAGGGTTAGCCTCTGGAGTTTCAGTTTACACCTCCAGCAGCCTCGGTTTCTGAGCCGATTATTCAAAGGGTCTTTCGGCGGTGGGCTGTGGCCGCTCGCTCCCCCGACCTAGGCCGCCGCCTCTGGAGAAGTGCAGCTTCTTTCTGCAGAGCTGGCTGGTTCCCTCTCCCCTCTGAGGCTGCAAACATCCCCGACAGTTCAGAGCCCTGGGAACCTTTGAGGCTGGGCGGGGGTTAGTGCGACGAGTCTGTTTAGCCATTCTCCAGTTCTAGAACCCTTAGAAGACTCAGCTGTGTCCAAGTCGGAGGAAGTATGAAAACCCATTCTTTGCAACAAATATTTCACAAATGTGTGGTCATTTTAAAAATGAAAGTATGCAGAGGGTTTCCCCCCCCCTTCTCTTAAACAAGTTTCAACTTATTTTCCCAAAGTAAGAATGACCAGTGCTTTGCCAATGGGTTTCTGGCATGCCAACGGCAATAGTCAGGCTCAGTATTTTTCAAATTGTCCTCCAGACTGCACTCAAAGTGTGAGTAGTCTGAGGCAATGGGGATACAGAAATGAATGAACCCAGGGAGTTGCCATCTGGGGGTTAAATCCCTTGGGATTTAAGGCCTGTCAAGAAAACCCTCAGGGCAATGGAGTACCCCTCCAAAACCACAGAGTAAGCTAAAGAGAAAGCAGAGGTCCAGGAAGGGAAGGGGTATTTGAGCTGGGTCTTGAAGGAGGCCGAGTGTTGATTAGATAACTGGGAGTAGGGGCCTCCAGAATAGCCCAGGGAGCACAAAGGTGCAAAACAGTGTGGGGGAGCCGGGGAGTAACAGGACCTCGAGAA